CCGGAGGACGGCGAGGGCTGGACCCCTGGCAGCAACGGGACTGGCGCCGTGGTCTACAGCTACCGCGCGTGGACATCGGCCGCGGGGCCCACGTGCACCTGCCCACACCTCTGCCTGCTGCTGGGCAGTGTCCTTGGCGCCCTAGGGCTGCTGTGTCCCTAGTCCCCGCTGCCCTGGGCTCGCCCCATCTGCCCCAGGGACCCTTCGGAAGCTGCCAGACCCCCAGCACACACTCAACTCGATGGTCTCAGAGCCCAGAAGGCAGTCAGTGGGACCCAGGCACTTCCTGAGACACAGGCTCCCCTGACCGAGCCTCACCCCATCCTACCCTCTCCAACCTACCAGCGGTGGGACGGAGGCCACCAATGCCTGCCCCTGGCCTGTCAGTCGCCCGGCCAAGCCCGCCACTGTTTCCAAGGGCACAGCTGTCCAGGGCATCCCTTACTGTTGCCACTGCCCCTGCCAGGGCCAGCCTGCCACAGGGTCCTCCTGCAAAGACTCCGTGTGAGACCAGTGCCCATTGGCCTGACTGAAGGGTTTCCTGTCCCTTTGAGCCACTTCATAGCAATGTGAAACAAGACATTTCACAATTAGGGACTGGCATATTTGACCTTGAGGTTCACACTCCAGGATCCTCACCTGATCTCTGGGTCAGCTAGTCCCTGAGGAGGCTTTCCTGGGCACAGCCTGAGAGAGCAGTCCAGGAGTCCTGGCTAGCAGCCTCCCCTCAAGCCAAGCAGAGGGCAGGGTGGCAGTGCAGGGGTACCACGGTTCTCAAGGAAGCCGAGCTCCAAACAACTGGACACCAACAGTGTGTCCCGACCACAGGCCATTCAGCCTGCGGGGGCAGCAGCGGAAGGCTGGAGCAGGCGAAGCCCCTAGGATCCCTGCAGCTCAACTGGACACCAGAGGGCACCAAGGAACAACAGGTGGAGAGAATTGGTTCTCAGCACATCCCCCTCTGATCAGTGCCTCAGCCACAAAGCCAGCCGAAGCCTGGGGCACTTCAAGTCCTCCAGGGCCCAGCTCTGCCAGCCTGCTCCACCTGAGCTGTGATGGCAGCCAAGCGCCCAGCGGTGCTCCGGCCCTCCTTGACCAAGGCCTGTGCCTTTGACTCAGTCAGTGGACACCAGCACCCCTCAGGGGCTAAGTCCCCCACCACCTGTTTTCCCACAGCTTCAACAGTTGGGCTCATGTTTGTGGGCGGGGGCAGATGCGTCTCTCCCCAAAGGCGGGATACAAAGCCACCAGCCCCCACAGGCTTGAACACTGCCAAGGTCCTTCTGACTCAGCTCCTCAGCCTGCTCCCAACCAGGGTAACCGAGCTGCCCAGCACAGTGACTGTCTCCCCCAGGAGGGCTAAGGGATGGCCCTGGGGACAGCTCAGTTTCCAGCGAGCCCAAGGGCCAGCCCACATGCTGACCAAGCTGCAGGAGGCAGAGCCTTTGCACCCAAAATGCACATCACACACCAACCCGACTTCATGAGACTGCGCCAGCACATCAGGCTCCAGCCAGCAAATGACCTACTCCATGTGGGAGCTAGCCAAGGAGCTTGCTGGGGAAGCCACAGGGACAGACAGGACACCCCCTCAGCCCAGCTGGTGCTCAATGGACCCCTAGCTGGGACAGGCTCCTCCCCTAGTGCCCCACCCCACCATTCCCCTTTCCAGAAGGCATGCTGCCAGCAGGCAAGGGACAGGACTGCCACACAAGATGGGGGGCAGAAATGCATCCGTGCCTCAGCCCCAACACGGTAAAGCACAAAGACCATACTGCCCCTGCCAGCAGCCAGTGCCCTTGCTGGGGACCCTGTGGGTGGCCCCCATGTGGCTGTCTAAGCCAAGAAGGGGGCTTCCAGCAGGGCAAGAAGGGCAAGCCAGTCCTTGATCTCGCCATGACTACCAAACCTGTTAATGTCTGCGTGCACTTCTGCCCGTGTTGTGAGAATAAACACCTAGCTGGTGACCAGAGACTCCATCACTTGTGGGGCTCTGGGGGGCGTCATGTCAACCAGCAGAGGTACAGCATCAGCCCTGGGATGTCCCGTGTATACATCAGCAGTGATGATGGGGGAGGGGGTGTGGCCCTGGGAGTGTCCACCATGTGATCAGCAGATTGGGAGGAGCCAGCCCTGGGTGGGAGGGCAGTTCTGTTTGTGGATCAGCAGAGACCAGGGAAGGGGAGGGGTCAGACCTTGGGGTCCAACGTTGAAAGGCAAGCAGTTGGGGGTGAGGGGAAACTGGTCCTGGGGTGTCCAGCATGTGGGCCAGAGGAGATGAAAGGAGCCTGGCCCTGAAGGATCCTGTGTGTAGATCAGCAGAGAGAGAGAGAGAGAGA